GGAGCCGGGCTGGCCCCACGGCGGCCCTGCCACAGCCAACGAGCAGGGGGCCGGGGCCGGGCCGCTCCCCGTCCGCCGCCGCCGCCTTGGTCTCCGCCACCGTGAGGGAAACGGCCGCCGCCGCCGCTGCCTTCGTCACCTCAGCTTCCTCCCGCCGCCGCCGCCGCCGCCCCCGCTGATGCTGCCCCAGTCCCGGGACCCGCTGCTGCCGCTCCACGGCCTCCACCTCCCCCTGCCGCCGCCGCCGCCGCCTACTGCGCAGGCGCACCGGGCACCCGCCCGCCGCGCGCGGGCCCGGAGGCCCACGGCGCAGGCGTCAAGGCCGGCGACCCAGCTCGCGCTCGCCAGCGCAACAGAGCTTCCACATTGCCGCTGACTCTCTTCCGCCCTCTGCTGGTCGCTTGATTGCGCTTGCGCAGAACGAGATTGGCCCTCTTTCTTTCCGCCGCCCCATCTCTTCTTTTCCCCGCCCCACAACACTCGGCGCTAACCAATCACGAGGAGGGAGGAGCCGCGCTCGCTCGATCGGATTGGATGTCAGCCAGCTAGCGATCAGGCCACACCCACTGCGCTCCGGGAGCCGCCGCGGCGCTTGGACAAGTTCGCGATGGGCATGCGCATGCATGACTGCTTGGTCACTTCGCTCACCTTTGTCTTTCTTGGTGCGCACGCTCCCAAGGAAAAAAAAAAGTCGAAAAGCAAAAAGTGCCCGGCGCGCACGCGCTGAGCTTAGTCGGCGCGCACGTACGGACTCTAGGCTATTTCAGATTCAGACTTGCGGAGAGGTTGATGGAAAGTCCCAAAAAGCAAAATGTATCCTAGGCGGGTCTAGATTCCGGATCTAAGTATCTGAGGAAAAATCAAGATAGGGAAAATTGTCATGGAGTAAGGATAGCGGCGGGAAAACTTCGGATTCTTGAGTTAACATGGGTGAGGGAGTAGTGGGAAGTGAAAACGCAGAAGTCAGAATCCGAGGCGTTGGTCCTCCCCTCCCCCGTCTCAGGATATCCCAGTCCTTGTGCTGAGTGCTAGAGCTACAAAGATTTGAAAGGGTGTGTAATATATTGGCAAAGGGACCGCTCAACTGATAAATACACACAGTTTGATTGAAGCTTCGATGGAGATAAGGAGAATATTAACGAAAACATGGCTAGCTGTTCTTAACAGTGGTCGTGAAGACACAGAGGAATTAATAGAAATTAAGATCTAAGGAATGAGTAGGACCTGGCTGCAGGGGAAAACAATGCAGTTAAGCTATTTTTTAAAGATGCATTTATTGGGCCTGGCGCTGTGGCCTAGCAGCTAAAGTCCTTGCCTTTGAACGCACCAGGATCCCATGTGGGCGCCGGTTCTAATCCCAGCAGCCCCACTTCCCATACAGCTCCCTGCTTGTGGCCTGGGAAGGCAGTCAAGGATGGCCTGGAAAGACCAATTTACAGAGAAGAGAAACAGAAAAATAAAATCTTCCTTATTCTGGTTCACTCCCCAAGTAACCACAACATACAGAACTGAGCTGATCCAAAGCCAGAAGCCAGGAGCTTCTTCCATGCGGGTGCAGGGTCCCACAGCTTTGGGCCATCCTTAACTGCTTTCCCAGGCCACAAGCAGAGAACTGGATGGGAAGTGAAGCAGCTGGGACATGAACTGGCAACCCTAGGTAAAGCTGGTGCTTGTAAGGGGAGGATTAGCCAATTGAGCCATCCTGTCAGGTCCAGTAACAATATTCTTAAGAGAATAAGGAATACAAAGCTGCAAAAACACAGCAGCACAGGCTTAAAAAACCACAGCTATGATAGTCCCAGTAGCATCTGCTGGGAAGTGGGGAACTGCAGGAATTGGTGCCTGCCAATCAGATTAAGGAGGCTGGCCTTGACTGTTCATGGAGAGCGGGAGATGAAGAGTCAGGGTGCTCTTGCCAGGCAGTTTTGCCGCTAAAAGAAATGCTGATGACTTGACTCTACAATAAAAAATACGTTTTAAAAAAAAAAGAGAGAGATTTATTTATTTTCATTGGAAAGTCAGATACACAGAGAGGAGAAGAGATAGCAAGATCTTCCATCTGCTCTTTCACTCCCCAAGTGACCAAAATGGCCGGAGCTGAGCCAATTCAAAGCCAGGAGCCCAGAGCCTCTTCCAGGTCTCCCACTCATGTCTCTCCGGGACATGAACTGGCGCCCACACAAGATCTCAGCATATGCAGGGCGAGGACTTTAGCCACTAGGCTACTGAGCCCAGTCCAAAACAGAAATTTTTTACTTTTTTTTTTTTAACCCTGTTGATTCCTAGCTGCTCCACTAACTGATCTGGCTCCTTGATGATGTACCTGGGAAAGCATACGAGGATAGCTCAAGTACTTGGACTCTTGCCACCCATACAGGAACCAGGGAGAAAGCTCCTGGCTCCTGGACTTGGCCTGTCCTGGTCATCACAGCCATCTGGGGAATGATACAGCAGGTGGATCTCTGTCTCTCTGTATTTCACTCACTGTAACTCTGACTTCTAAATAAATAAATACTTAAAAAATAAAGGGCCCAGCACAATAGCCTAGTGGCTAAAGTCCTTGCCTTGAATGTACCAGGATCCCATATAGGCCCTGCTTCTAATCCCGGTGCCCTGCCCCCCTTCCCATCCAGCTCCCTGCTTGTGGCCTGGCAAAGCAGTAAAGGATGGCTCAAAGTGTTGAGCCCCTGCACCCACGTGGGAGGCCCTAAGGAAGCTCCTGGCTCCTAGCTTCAGATCGGCTCAGCTCTGGTCTAGCCATTGTGGGTGCCTAGGGAGTGAACCAGTGAATAGAAGATTCTGCCTCTCCTTTTCTCTGTAAATCTGATTTTCCAATAAAGAAGAAATAAATCCGGTCCGGCGGCATGGCCTAGTGGCTAAAGTCCTCACCTGAACGCACTGGGATCCCATATGGATGCTGGTTCTGGTCCTAGCAGCTCCACTTCCCATCCAGCTTCCTGCTTGTGGCCTGGGAAAGCAATCCAGGACAGCCCAAAGCTTGGGACCCTGCACCCGTGTGGGAGACCTGGAAGAAATTCCTGGCTCACTTGGGGAGTGAATCATCGGACGGAAGATCTTCCTCTCTGTCTCTCCTCTCTGTATATCTGCCTTTCCAATAAAAATAATAATTACAAAAAAAAAACCACATTGGCCTGCATGTGAGCTGGGTTTTGGGGAAAGCCAGACTAGGTTAAGCGAATGTATCCACTGGTGCATACATGAGGCAGAGTAAGTGATGTTGGTCAGGCTTTGCTACAGCTGGCAGGTGCTGGAACTAGGGTTAGGTCCTGTCGGAGTAGAAGACAGTAATACCTACACAGGGTGCAAGATCAGGAGCTGGACCCGACAGAATAGCCTAGTGGTTAAAATGTTTGTGCCCTGTCTGCTCCACTTCCCTTCCCATCCAGCTCCCTGACTGTTGCCTGGGAAAACTGTGGAGGATGGTCCAAAGCCTTGGGACTCTGCACCTGCGTGAGAGACCTGGAGGAGACTCCTGTATCCTGATCAGCTTAGCTCTAGCCACTGTAGCCACTTTGGGAGTGAACGAGAAGATGGAAGATCTTTCTTTTTGTGTCTCCTACTCTCTGTAGATCTGCCTTTCCAATAAAAATAATAATTAAATCTTCAAAAAGGAAGATCTGGGGTCATGAGTGGGCCTAATAGGGAAAATGTGGGCATCCCTCTGATGGGCTACAGCTCCCATCAGTGAGCATGAACCAGGGTTAGGTTGGACCTGCTGCACAAGTGACAGCACCGGCCAGTGTAAGTGTAGGCTGGATAGTGGGGTAAGTCAAGCTGAGGAAGGCTGGAGTACCCATTGATGTGTACGAGAGCCAAATGGGATGCAGGACAGACCAGACCAGTATGCTGCACATACTGGCATGCACAGGAACCGGGGCTAGGGGCAGGCCTGGTGAGGGTTAGGGGTTGCTCCAATTAGGCTGCAGTTTCTGCTGGTGTGCCTGAGGGCTGAGTGTGAGGTGGACAGGGTTGGATTGGGCCACAGCATCCATTGGCTTGTGTAGAGATGGGGCTGGAGAAAGAATTGACCAGGTGACTGCAACCACCAGTGTTTGTGTAAGCTAATGTGACTGACAGAATGAGCCAGACCCCACACCGGCTAGCATACATAGGAGTCAGGTTTAGGGTCACCTCTTGTAAGGTTTCTTTGGGGACTACCCCAACTAGACCACTGAACACAAAACTCCAACCCTGAGGAAAATTACAGGACCCGTGGTCTGACCATAAAGTGCGTGTATCAGAACTGGGCCTCTGGCACGGCAGAGTAGCCTAATGGCTAAAGACCTCGCCTTAAACATGCTAGGACCCCATATGGGCACCAGTTCTAACCCCGGCAGCCCCACTTCCCATCCAACTCCCTACTTATGGCTTGCAAAAGCAGTCGAGGACAGCCCAAAGCCTTGGGACCCTGCACCCTCACGGGAGACCCGGAAGAGGTTCCTGGCTCCTGGCTCCGGATCGGCATAGCATCAGCCGTTGTGCTCACTTGGGGAGTGAATCATCGGATGGAAGATCTTCCTCTCTGTCTCTCCTCCTCTCTGTATATCTGACTTTGCAATAGAAGTAAAATAAATCTTCAAAAACAAATCAATAAATGAAATAAAAGTAAAAGAACCAGCTAGTTGAATTGGTTGTTACGAGCTGGGGAACTGTCCTTTCCTGTGCCCCTTGAAATGCCAACAGCAGGTGGCAGTCTGTTCTGTCAGTAGAGTCCTGGGCCTGCCTCTGACTCAGGTCTGGGGCAGCCCAACCCAGATGCCTTCGTTTGGTTCCCGCTGATATGCCAAGCGTTCACTCGTTCTTCTTTCATCCCAGTTCCACAAGGCCAGAAATGAGACACTGGCCAATTGGGGATGATGGTCACCGTGGGCCCACCTCTCCCCCCAGGGAAGTGTCCACTGCCTAGAATATTCAGGAAGGGTCTTAAGGTGGAGACAGCTTATCTTCCCATCAAGTCCAAACGCGGATCAGGACAGGGCAAGTCTCATTTATTGTTCACCCCAACAAGGAGGAGAAGTCCCACATCCTTGCCCAATCCTGCTCTTATGGTACTTTGAGAATATGTCCCCGGCGGCCCTCTCTTCCAGGGAGGTGTCTCTGAGGAGTGCTGGAGTTCATGGAGGAGAGAGAGGCTCCAGTGGAGAGAGAACCCCGAGGGATAGTGTCACCTCCCTGCCAACGTCCTCATCGCCTCTCCTTCGAAGCGGAAGGCGCGCCAGCCCTCTGCTGCAGTCAGGTCCTGGGCTCCCAGGGCCTTGTACAAGTCCATGGCCTTTTTGTTCCAGTCCAGGACTGCTAGGCGGAACTGGGAGCAGCCCTTGTCCAGGGCCACCTGTGTGAGTGAGAGAGAGAGAGAGAGAGAGAGAGAGAGAGAGTCAATCCTCACTTCCCTGGGGTTCATGGAGCCCAACCTTACGCAACCCCAAGCCCCACCCCCCTCGCCCCTTCACTCTGACTTTTTCAACAAGCTTCCTGGCAAGCACATCCCACCCCTGCTCCTCACCTCAGCCACCTTTTGGATTATTTTGGTACCAATCCCCTGACCTGTTGCGGAGAGAAAGAAGTAAAAAGAGTGATGGAGCTGAAGAGGACCCCAAACTACCCCAGGCTGGGATGAAGGGCCCCATTGGCCCCTACCCCGGTATTGTGGCATCACGTAGATGTCTTCCAAGTAGACATTGCGTCCCTTCCAGGTGCTGTATATGAAGTAGTACAGCCCGTAGCCCACTATGCAGGGCCCTGAGAGTGACAGAGAGGAGGCATAAGGCCTAAGGGGGCCAAGGCACCTGGCGGGATCGGCACACCTGCACACCTGTACACCTGCTCTTACTGGGCTGCTCCCCTGGCGCTGGAGGAAGCTCTGCGACCAGACAGTGATAGAAAGGATTCTCTCCAAAGCCATCTGCTCTCAGAGCTGTGGAGATTGGAGGAATGACACAGAGACACCATGAGACGACCTGCGTGGACGCCTAGTCCAGAGCTGTGACCCTCTCCCTTCCCACAGCCTCCATCAGGACCCCCACCTTCTTCACTGATCTTCACTTGATCCGACAGCTTCTCGAACTCAGCGAGTTCCTAGGGCAGAAGGACCCAAAGGGAGATGAGCAGCCAGGTTCCAGGGTGCGCCCCACTCTCGAGACCCCCACCCCGCCTCCGACTCCCCCCCCCCCCCCGCGGCACCGCAGCTTTCACCCGAATTAGCCTCAGGATCTCTCCACAGTCCCCCGCCTTGGCCTCTCGGATCCACACTGACGCCATCCTGCTCCCCGTTGTCTGGAAACAAAGTCCAAGACTCCCCTACTTCCGTTTCGCAAGGCGCCTGCCCAGGGCCTGCACACTCGGATCCCGAAAAGCCTGAGGAAAGCAGGGGGCGGCGGGGTGTGTCGTGGGCGGGGAAGCCGAGCAGGGGTCGCCCCAGCGCCTCCTGCTCCCCACCCGGGAAGCCGAGCAGGGGTCGCCCCAGCGCCTCCTGCTCCCCACCCGGGAAGCCGAGCAGGGGTCGTCCCAGCGCCTCCTGCTCCCCACCCGGGAAGCCGAGTAGGGGCTCAGGGGCGAGAGCTAGGTGGTCCTCACTCCCATCAGCCCTCCCCCAGGCTCACCCGCCAGCCAATCAGCTCGCGGTGGGCACGGCCGGGCGCCAGCCCCGCCCCCGGCCGCCGAGTCTTGTGACTGGCCACCCCCCCAGATGGGGTCAAGGCTGGAGTGGCCGGGCATGCCTGGCTGCTGTTCCCGAAACATTCCCCGCCTCCCCGGAGAGATACTACACTGGCCGGAAGTCACAGTCGTCTCGTACGTCTTTCATGAGAGTGTGCAGGGTTGGCGAGTTCATCCTTCGTGTTCACTCACCCAGACTCTGGGATTGGAAATGGGGAGGGGATGGGGAGCCCCAAGGCTTTCAGATCCCCCGACTCCCCTCACACACACACACTGTGACAACAACAAGTGTGACTTCGACATTCCTTGCATTGCAAAATGGATTGGTCTGCTGGCACACACGGGTCAGGTCCTGTGGTAAACGGATAAGGCAAGATAATTGCGAGTGGGGTGGTAGTGGTTGGGGGTGGGCTCCTTCTTGGTATCCACTGAATCACACAATGGCTTCTTGTGCGAGAGGCCTCTGAATCTTGGGAAAGCATGGGGGAGTTGCTCAGAGCAGATAGTGGGCTCTCGGCCTGCCATATCTGCTGTATTAACTGTTTCTCAGCAACCTTACACCCTATGCTGGAGGGATTATTTTGCTCTAGGACTGGGAGCAAACGGTCAAGTGACTTGTTCAAGGTCAACTCAGCCCCAGACTGTGCAGTTCCCATGGCTCATCCTGGTGGATGGAGAGCAGGTGGGTGTTAGCTGTGAGAGCCTGGGACAACAGGCTGTGGAGGAGGAGAGAGTGAGGTGGCTTCCCCCCCCCCGGGGCGCTTAGCCCGCTCTGTTGGCAACGAGGGGTGGCAACTGCAGTGTCCCTCACCTCTGTTGTCCTCAGAGGGGCCGCTGGGTCACTGGCCCTGCCTCTCTTCCCCTCCCCCTCCTCCCCCACTAGGCGGCAACCTTTAACCCTCCATCACCGTTTGGCTGGCAAGGCTGCCAGTCCCCACAGATTCATTTCGCCCCAGAGCTGCATGAGCCAGATTTGCAGTCCGGCTGATTATGGAGAACAGAGGCCCATGGGCCATCCTGCGTGCGCTGCTGCTGTTGCTGCTGTTGCTGCTACTGCCACCGCCATTGCCACCGACACCTCACACCCACCTGCCACTGGTCCTGGGACACATTCTGTCCAACCAGGTGCACAAGCCAGCCGGGGTACGGGGCTCACTTGCCCTGCTTGGGGTTTCAGCATGCTGCACTTTGACTCTGCCCTTCTCCCTTCTCCCCTTGGCCTGTCTCAGACGCGTCCTTTATCCAGTTTATTCTCTCTCTCTCTCTCTCTCTGATAGAGTGCTGAGGACCCTTCTGCTGTGCACCTCAGCAGTAGCCCAGGACAAGAGCCCCTCCTGGTCCTGACTTTTGATGTCACCAAGCTTACCAAGTAAGGGATCTGCCCAGCCTCTTGAACCCTTCTCCCAATCTTCTCTCCAGCAGTTCTCTCTCTCTCTCTCTAACACACACTCACCACACACACACACACACACACACAGAATCTCCCCTTCTGTGTCTTTGCAGGGTCTCTTCCTCCTTTGAGCTTCAAACGTGGGATCCAGAGGGAGTGATCTTCTATGGCGACGCCAACGTGGAAGATGACTGGTTTATGCTGGGACTTCGGGCTGGCAGGCCCGAGATTCAAATGCACAATCCCTGGGCCCAGCTGACGGTGGGCGCGGGACCCCCGCTGAATGATGGCAGGTGGCATAAGGTGAGCCTGCACTGCTCTGAGGACTGGGAACAGAAATGGGATGCCCCTTCAGTGCCAGTGCTCTTCTACTTTTTATTTTGTCAACGCAGAATTTCTCACCCCTGCTGAAGTAGTTGTGTATGTCCCTGGTTTTCTGAGGTGGATTTGGAAGGCTCAGTCTCCAGGGCTTCTTCTCTGCAAGAGAATTGTGGTTCTGCCCCTCTCCGCCTTCGTGCAGGTGGACTTGAAGATCAAGGGCGACTCATTGCTACTGGACGTGGATGGGGAGGAGGTGCTGAGGCTGAGCCAGATCTCTGGGCCCCTGCACAACAAGTCCCAGCATATCATGCGGCTGGCCATCGGGGGACTGCTCTTCCCTCTTTCCATCCTGCGTTTACCGGTAAATACGTCCCCAGGGACCGGAAGTTGGCCCAAGCTGGGTAAAGCAGCACTGGGGTAGGTGGCTGTGGGAATCTTTTCTGCTTTGGGGGGTTGGGGGTGGGGCTACTAAAAGCCTGATCCTGATGGGGTAAGGGAAGTATCATGGGAGCAAGGGGCTCGGCCTGGGACTCCAATGTCGTGCTTCTAGCATCACAGTACATCACTGTATCCTCCCTCATCCTCATCCCGGTCAGCTGGTCCCTGCCCTGGATGGCTGCCTGCGCCGGAGTACTTGGCTGGACCCACAGGCCCAGATCTCAGCCTCGGCCCATCGCAGCGGCAGAAGCTGTGACACAGACTTGCAGCCTGGGACGTTCTTCCCTCCAGGGACGCGCGCTGAGTTCAGTCTCCAAGGTAGACCTCTCTGCCTGCCTGGCAGGCTCCACCTTCCCCTGTCTCCCTCTGCCACCTGCCCCCTCCCTCCATGAAGCCTCCTCCTTCCCCACTTCCTCCCTGCTCCTAGCTGGAGACAGCACAGCAGAAGGATCATGTCTCTCCTTAGATCTTCCCCAGCCCTGTGCAGAGCCCTGGGCCTTCTCCGTGGTGCTGGAACTCAAGCCGACTCGGGACTCCGGCCACCTCCTTGCCCTTGGGACACCAGAGAACCCTTCTTGGCTCAGCCTCCGCCTTCATGATCAAGTAAAGAGAGGGAGGCCCTGCTTGGGTTGTATGATACCTGGGAACAACAGGCTCAAAAGTGTCAACATTACGCAGGTTTCAGGGTGGGTGGGGGTGGTGCCAGGGACATTCCTGGAAGCTGCCACAGCAAATAAGTGAATTTTGTCTAGGTCGGGGTTTGGGGTGGTTTCATAGAAGGTAAAATGGGGCAGGATATTTTAAAAGGTGTATTTATTTATTTATATTGGAAAGGCAGATTTACAGAGAAAACGAGAGACAGAGAAAGATCTTCCATTCATTGGTTCACTCCCCAAGTGGCCTCCATGGCCAAAGCTGAGCCAATCTGAAGCCAGGAGCTTCTTCTGGGTTTCTTTTTTTTTTTTTTTTAATGTGGGTGCAGGGTCCCAAAGATTTGGGTCATCCTCCACTGCTTTTCCAGGCCATAAGCAGGGAGCTGAATGGGAAGTAGGACAGTCTGGACATGAACCCTGGGGCCCAAATGAGATCCCTGTACTTGGAGGTGGAGAACTAACCATTTGAGCCATTGCGCTGGGCCATGGGGCAGGATTTAAGTGGGAAGAGTAGGTAAAGATGGGGCTCACTCTTTCTTCCCTTCTTACCCCCATCCCTGTCCCACTCCTCTGCAGAAGGTGGTGCTGTCTTCTGGGTTGGAGCCAGGGTTGGATCTGCCGCTGGCTTGGAAATTGCCTCTACAGCTGACACTGAATTTGTCCTCGGCCATCTTGAGCCAGGGCTTGGAGAAGAAGGTCCTTGCTCTATCTCCCTTGGGCCTTGACCCTATGTTCAACCTCTGGGCCCAGCCTCAGGGACGTCTTTTCCTAGGAGCCTTACCAGGTAAGGAACCAGGATGCTCAAGTTCCTCAGTATATCGTGAGGGAGCAGCTAAAGGCTGGGGGCGGTTGGGTGGGGAGGAGAGAGGGAAGGACATTAGGAAGGAAAAAAAGGGCACAAGAGGGATTGGGCTCGGGGGAAGGGACTGTTGGACCCAACCCTGCCCCCTTCCTGCTGTAATGCCACCTCTGCCACCACCCTCCAGGAGAGGACTCTTTGGCCTCCTTTTGTTTGGCCGGCCTTTGGGCCCAAGGCCAGAAGCTGGACATGGACCGGGCCCTGAATAGAAGCTACAACCTCTGGAGTCACAGCTGTCCCTCGAGCCCAGACAATGTCACTGACACTTCCTATTAAATCCATCCCTTTGAAAATCATTCAGTCGCTCCTTGTAAAGTTTCTACTGGGCACTGTGCCATGCACTGAGATGGATGGATGAGCAGTCCCCGGCTTCTCCCCTCTTGGTGCTCCCAGTCATGTGAGGGAGGCCAGCTGACGTCATATACTCACTGAGGGGTGGGTAACTGGCAGCATTCAGGAGCACAGAAGAAAGAGTAGAGAGAAGGGTGTCAAGTGGAGGAGGCCAGGAGGTCCTCAACTCCCTGGGCTGATGTTCCCGCTCCCCATTAGCATCTGCAGACACACACAACAGATGGGGGTCACTGTATAGTGACCTGGAGCCCCCTCCTTGCCCTGTGCCTCTTCCCACTGTCTCCAGAATGATCTGGAGCAATCAGTAGGAAGGGGAGATTTTGTTCCCAGATTCATTCTAGTCCTTGGATGGACTGGTGACTGCTGCCCATGGAAGGAACAGCAGGGGGCGTGAGAGGGTCATGAAATGGGGGCAGGGGTTCTGGGCCAGGGGGTGGAGACAGGGAGGAAGAAGAGAGGAGGGGAGCACCAGGAGAAGGCTGCCTCTTTCCTAATCCGTCTACTTGTTGGGTGTTCATGTGTTGGTCCCATCTGGGACAAATACACCCAGAAATATCCGTGCCTTGAAAGGCAGTGTGAACTGACCCTCAGACCTGGGCCTCTGGGGACCCAGCTCTGCTCTGCGACCCCTCGTGCCTCAGCCCCCAGTTCCTGGCCAAACTCCCAGCTTGTGGCCCCAGCTCTCAGCCCACTTAGGGATCCTTGTATCAGCTGAGCACTCCCACTTGCTACATATAGAGCCTTTGAGGCTCCAGGCCTCAGCCCCTTCCTCTCATTCCTCCTCGCTCTTAAGAACTGTTCATCTATTACCCAATCTCAAGTTCCCAGGACAATTTTAGTGTCTCTCAGCTTTCTGGTTTCTTTTAAGAACTGTTTACTTGAAGGGCAGAGTTGCACAGAATGAGAGAGAGAGGGAGAGACACAAAGAGAGATCTTCCATCTGCTGGTTTATTTCCCACATGAATATAACAGCCAGAACTGGGCCAAGCCTAAGCCAAGAGCCTGAAGCTTCATTCAGTTCTCCCACATGGGTGACTGGTACCCCAGGTTTTGAGCTATCGTCCGCTGCTTTCCTAAGTGTTGGATCAGAAGTAGAGCAGCTGGAATCTGAACCAGTGCCTATATGAGGTGGTGGCATCATAGGCAATGACTTAACCTGCCACAGTGCTGGCCTCAAGCTTTCTAGTTTCTTAAAATGGTCTTCCTGGGCCCGGCGTGATAGTGTAGCGGTTAAGGCCCTTGCCTTGAATGCGCCCGGGATCCCATATGAGTGCCAGTTCTAATCCTAGCAGCTCCACTTCCCATCCAGCTCCCTGCTTGTGGTCTGGGAAAGCAGTCAAAGGCAACCCAAAGCCTTGGGACCTTGTACCTGTGTGGGAGACCTAGAAGAAGTTCCTGGCTCCTGGCTTCAGATTGGTGCAGCACCAGCTGTTGCGGTTACTTGGGGAGTGAATCATCAGATGGAAGATCTTCCTCTGTGTCTCTCCTCCTCTCTGTAGATCTGACTTTCAATAAAAATAAATTAAAAAAAAAAAAAAGAAAGAAAAAAATGGGGAGGTGGTAAGGCTCAGCCTGGTAGCCTAGCAACTGGAGTCCTCGCCTTGCATGTGGCAGTCCGGTTCGTGTCCTACCTGCTCCACTTTCCATCCAGCTCCCTGCCTGTAGCCTGGGAAGGCTGTCGAGTACAGGCTGGGGCCTTGGGACCCTGTACTCACAGAGGACACCCAGAAGCTTCTGGCTCCTGGCTTCATTCGGCGCAACTCTAGCTGTTGTGATCACTTGGGGGATGAATCATTGGATGCAAGATCTCTGTCTCTCCTCCTCTCTGTATATGACTTTCCAATTAAAAAAAATATTTTTAAATAAAAACTGGTTCCCTGGTGTTTTACAAACATCTCTGCCTCCATTCATCAGTCTCTCTCCAAAGACCTTGGCTCTCCAGAATCTGCTCCAAGTGCTATTGATCACTAGTGGTGTAGCAGCAAGGGCGTGGCTTGGGCCACCTGCAACCCTTATCAGCATGTTTGGATTTGGGGCTGTTACTGTGGCATAGTGGGTTGGGCTGCTATTTACAGTACCAGCATCCTTTATGGGTACCAGGTTGAGTCCTAGCAGTTGCATTTCTGATCTAGCTCCATGCTGATAGACAGGGAAAGCAGCAGAGGATGACCCAAGTGCTTGGCCACTATATTCACTTGGGAGACTGACAAGCTCCTGCTCCTGGTTTTGGACCAGCCCAGTTACAGCCATGGAAGCCACTTTGAGAGTGAACTAGTAGATGGAAGGTCTGTGTGTTTCTCTTTCTCTCTTTCTGTAACTGTTTTTTTTTTAAATAAATAAATAATTTTAAGAATTATTTTTATTGGAAAGGCAGATTTACAGAGAGAAGCAGAGAAAAAGAGAAAGATATTCCGTCTGCTGATTCACTCCCCAAATGACCACAATGGCTGGAGTTGAGCTGATCTGAAACCAGCAACCCCATTCAGGTTTCCCATATGGGTTGAAGGGCCCAAGGCTATTATTAGCAGGGTGGTTGATGGGAAGTGGAGGATCTGGGACATAAACTGTAGTCCATATGGGATCCTGAAACTTGAAGATGGAGGATTATCCTATTGAGCCACAGTGACATCCCCAAATAAATAAGATTTAAATTAAAAAAAAAATTCAGGCTCCTAGCTTCTGCCTGACCCAGCCCTGGTTGTTGCAAGTATTTGGGAACTGAACCAACAAATCAGAGATCTCTGTCTTCCTCAAATAGAATGAATAGAAATAAAACGCAAAGAAACTATCATGGGACTAGTATTGTGGTGGATCCACTTTTAATCCAGTGTCCTGCTAACGGCCTGCAAAAGACAGCAGCGGACGACCCAAGTGTCCGGGTCCCTGCCACCCACATGGGAGACTCTGATGAAGTTCCTAGCTCCTGGTCATCTAAGGAGAGAACCAGCAGATGGAAAATCCTCTCTCTCTTTCCCACTTTCCCTCTCTCTCTCTTTTACTCTCTCTCCCTCCCGTTACCTCCTCTGATCTTCTCTCTCTGAACTTCAACCTCCCAAAAGACAAAAAAGAACAAATCTTTGTTGAAAAAAAAATCATTAGTGACCATATGAACGATCTCAAAACAGTGTCTGACATATTGTCAGCAACAAATAAATGTTACATGAAAGTAAAAAAACACCACAGCTGTGGGCAACAGCCTAAGTTGCCTTGTACCTAGGTGAATGTTATTCTGCTGGGAGCATCCTCAACCTGGTTAATGCCAAATCTGTGTTAACCACACCAATGTACCAGCATAGTCGCCTAACCTAGTCTACTTTTTTTTTCTAGTTATGTGGGGGTTGCCAGGTCCATAAACCCTGGGGGCAGGACATCTGGTGGGGTCCAATTGGGCTTCCCCGGGGTGCCAATGGCTCCAGGCAAAGGCCACAGGGCCCAGCACAGCATGCTTATGGAGGCTTGGTATGTGGGCCTGCAGGAAGTCTAGGAGATGGCACAGGTAGGGGCATCCAGGGACATGATTGGTCATGTCCAGGATTGGTGGTCTGACTGTAGAGTGCATGTGTCAGAACTGGGCCTCCTTAGTGGAAAAGACAGAGCAGTGGATGGCAGGCCCAGAGGCATACAGAGGCTATGGCAGTCCACTGGGACCTATAGAAGACATCTGCTAGCGTAGCAGAGGAAGGAGGGCAGAACAAATTGAACAGCCATCCCAACCCAGTGATGGCAGCAAATATCTGGGCAAATGGACCCCTAAGGTCAACTGTGTCAGCCAATGAACCTTGGGTCTGTGAGACTGACGGCATTTCAGAGCCATCAAAATTAATTTAGCAGAACCCTCGACTTATGCTCCACATCGGGGACCCTGGGTTGATATCAAGTAGCTGTTTCACATCCCTGGATACTGGGATGGCTGGGAGGTTTGGTGTGGCTTCTCTTCTTATCTCCCTCCTTCTCCCAGTTACTGGAAAAAGAAAAAGAAAATTTGGAAACAATGATCTCACCCACTTTCCCCTAATCTTCAATCCTTAGAACCCTGATCAACTATGTACATCTCATCGAAATAAAAATAAAAAGAAAAGAAAAACAGAAAGTAATACACAGAGGAGAGGTGAGCTTGATGCAACAGCCTAGTGAAATCCTCACCTTGCATCTGCCAGGATCCCATATGGGCACCTGTTCATATCCTGGCTGCCCATTTCCTATTCAGGTCTCTGCTTGTAGCCTGGGAAGCAGCAGAGGACTGCCCAAAACCTTGGGACCCTGCACCCACGTGGGAGACCCAGAGGAAGCCAGGAAACTCCTGTTTCCTGGCTTTCAATCAATTCAGTTCTTGGGGAGTGAACTAGCAGATGGAAGATCTTTCTCTCTGCCTCTCCTTCTCTCTTTTTGTAAATCTGCTTTTTCAATAAAAATAATATAAATCTTGGGCCCAGCACAATAGTGTAGTAGTTAAAGTCCTTGCCTTGCATGCCTGGGATCCCAAATGGGTGCCAGTTCTAATCCCAGCTCCATTTTCCATCCAGCTCCCTGCTTGTGGTCTGGGAAAGCAGTCGAGGATGGCCCAAAGCCTTGGGACCCTGCACCTGCGTGGGAGACCTGGAAGAAGCTCCTGGTTCTTGGCCTGGAATTAGCTAAGCTCCAGTAGTTGAGGCCGCTTGGGGAGTGAATCATGGGACGGAAGATCTTCCTCTCTGTCTCTCCTCCTCTCTGTATAACTGACTTTCCAATAAAAATAAATAAATAAATAAATCTTAAAAAAAAAAAAGAGGAGAGGGAACAGGGAAGGAGGGAGAGGGAGAAAGAACAGGAAGGAGGCAGGGGCATGGTTGGAGTGAGCAGGAGATGAGGCCTGGAGGCCACAGGATGTGCTACCCAGCTCTACAAAGGTTTTTTTCTCTCTTTTGGGGGGAAAGGATGTGGACAAGGCAGAGGACATTGGGCAGGC